TGCTCAGCACCAATAGCGTTCCACTGCACGTTGTATTCTCACGCATTTTTTCTGGAGCAGTTCGGCACCGCTATTATGTAAAAAACCTATATGTATAAAACGACGAAAACACCAACCAAGTGTCATCCTGTAGATTTGTTACGTTTGCTTACTAGATCGCTGTGAGCGTCCATCTATGGAGGAATGACTCAACTACACTCATTGTTGGTTACTGAAAGCAAGTATAGGTTCTGTGAAGCCGAGTGGTCTGTAGTGTTTATGTCTGAGAAGATACGAAAGAAAGAAAGTTGGTGCAGTAGCAAGATCGCATCTGGATGATTGTGTGTATTGATCTGTATGTGATTTGTATTTCTTATTTACATCGCAAACTATATTTCTATAAAATTTAAAAGATTGTAAATAAAAAATAATGTAATAACCTTTTCACTTTCATAAACATTCCTGTCTGTAGCACATTGTCTCACCTGTTACTTCACCAACCAGGGATTCATTTTCTTTTCTTATCTCTCTCATTTTTGAAGTTCATCAGAACCAAACAGTTTTAACTGAAGCAACACATACAACTACAAAACGAGTTCATGTCAAGTATCCATCAGCTAGTGCTAAGTTAACATCTTGTAGAAAAACCTACGTTACTTAAAAAAACGTACTTTATGTAAAAAAAACCGACCCAATGTCACCTTTCAAGATACGTAATACCCGTGCGGGAGCCTTTTACTCTCAAAAGTGACGATTTGGTTTCAAAGTGGTAACATTGGCAACAATGAGTCGAGTGTAAATCGGGTGAGACACAGGGCCGTATTAGAAACTGTTTTTACCAAACATAGTCATGTATCATTAGATCATCAGAATCCATTTGGCTTGTAGCGTTTTTTATTGTGTGTGAAGGAACTTCTCTAATAAAAGCGTTATTAGGAAGTGCACAAAATATGACTCGGCTACAGATCTAACGTTGGTATATCCACCAGAATTGTGTTACACTTGTCAATTTGAGGTATTTTGAAGTAATCCTAGATGATCAGGTGTTATCTGCCGTCACGTTTAACGTAGTGGTTATTGATGAAAAAGACTCTCGGATTAGTAATTACATATATTAATGATAATGACATCCACAAGCCTAAATCGGGCCGACATCGAGTTGCCTTAGTAAGAATGGCCAAAGGATGCCTTAAGTAATCTTGAGTACCGAATCAGTTCTCAGATTACCTGTGTAAACTGTTCACCTAATCTGAAGAGCTAGTGGAGTGAAGCAGTGTTTAGAAAAAGAGTAGCGTTGGAGGTTCACTTACCTTGATAGGATCCTCGGTCAATGTCCCCATACGGGTTGGGAGTGTTCTTTATTAGAAGTCTATGGGCGGTTTATGCTAATTGTGAGTAAAGCGGGTTAAAGCGGGATAAAATATTTATTACGTACATCGCATAAGGAACTTAATGCGTACAGAGGAGAGGCAAAGAGCGGAACTTCAGTTGGGTTGGTAATGGTAAATGTCTTTTGTTGTCACGTGCCAAAATCACGTAACTTTTTTTACTATTTTGAACATTTGCTAGTAATTTGAATTTCTCTTTATTAATGGTAGAGTGCCCATACCTAGGCCAAACCCTTTTCGATGATGTTCTTTTGGTGAATTTTATAGTTTATTGATATAGTTTCACACGTATTGTAATATTTCTATCTCAGTGCTTCAGTATTGTGTTGAAAAAAAACTCTGTAAGTTTTCGTTCAACCTCCAGATTCTGGGATATTAGGTGCCGAACACCAGTTTGTCGAGTAGTACCCCTTCATGTAGTACCTTACGTTAGTTGTTTTGCTTTGTGTCCTACCCCGTCCATTTTCTAATGAGATTTTAATCTTCACCGTTGGAGGCATTGCGGAAAACCACCATACACTCCTCCAGCTTTGCTTGTAGCTGTTTTGCAGCTGATATTGCAGGAAGCCTTCCCCTTAAATATTCTTGCGGGGCGCAACTTTGATAGGCTGTAACTTTCTTGTTTTTTAGAGATAAATGAATAATTCTTTCGCCAAATTGTTTCATTTTTGTTAAAATTACATTAGAGTTGATAATATAAAAATTGGTGAACTTGTCCATTACCGCACCTGCATGACCAGTGAAAACGTCTAAAAGCATATTTGCGCGCCAAAATTGTGAAAACCGAATTATTGATATGTCGGAAAAGTTCATCGAACGGCGGAGAAACATATGAAGACATCTCCGACATGTAAGGCAATTAATCACGCATTTTACTGCCAAGGAAGGATGTTTCTATCTATTACAGTGTCGGAATCATTTGAAATTGTTATAAGATCGGCTTATGGAGACTATTGACGATCCGCCTTTGAGTGTAGTAGTGATCAATGGGACTGCTCCGTTTACAGTTTGGGCCAGATAAACAGGAGCTTTACCTCATGAATTAATGCTTAGGAAACCATAAACGAGTCCACGAAGAGGTCTATTTACCGCTGACAATTGGGATTGATCTTGATTCAAAACTCAAATATACCAATGGAAGGTAATCTGTAAAACTAAAACTGAAGCTAGAAGTAGATCATGCTAGTTAGGTTTGCCGTCATAACATAAATATCTTAACTTTCTGTCAAACTTAGGAAAATAATGCTGTCCAGCTCGCAAAATGCAGTTCCGCTTCGGCTGTCTTACAAGAAAGACGTACCTGTATCGGAGCGATCATATAATATAGTTAGCGAGGGTTACCGGGTTCTATATAGATTAATTAAATACATTTCCTAAATATGCCTCCACCTCCTACAGGGGTGGGAGGCCCCAGTGGTAGTGACACTAATGTGAACATTGCTGTGTATGATTTAACATTTAGTGAAGATTCTCCTCAGTGTGAAATAAATTCCAGCGTCAACTCGAGCGAATACAACGTTGCGATAACAGAGGACCGGCATACCATCTCGGAAAAAAAACAACAACAACAACCACGACTGTTTGAGATTGAAAACGCTAAGTATTACTCAAATAATAATATTTATGTGTTTATTGAGAAGACCAACAGCCAAAATATTGGCAGACTACATCCGCTTCACGTAGGACATATACTCCACAAAAACCTTAAATTGAATGATAAAATAACGACTATTAGCCGCGTCGGCTTAAATCGTATAAAAGTAGGTCTCAAAAATTTGAACGATGCTAATCACTTAGTTTGTAACACTGAACTCGCAGCAGAGAATCTAAAAGCATACATCCCAAATAATTTATTAATAAGAAAGGGTTTAATCAAGGGTGTTGATACTCAGTTTAGTGAGGAATATTTAAAAGAAAATATAATTTCTGATATAAGCGTACTGGAGGTCAAGCGTCTAAAGAGAAAAATTGTTAGTGATGGCACTCATCAGTTAGTTCCTAGGCAAATGGCAGTTGTCACATTTAATGGCAATATGCTTCCCAACGAACTTTATATAAACAGCGTGCTATTTCAAGTTGAGCCATTTGTACAAAGGGTAATACAATGCTATAAATGCTTGCGTTTTGGACATGTTTCTGGACAGTGTCGCAGTACTCACTCCAGGTGTATTATATGTGGCCAAGTCAAAGAGGATGAACATACATGTAATGAAACTAATACTTACTGTCTTTTCTGTAAAAACTCTTCGCACAGATCCACATCAAAAGATTGTCCTTCGTTTCAGAAGCAACAAAAAATTAAAAAGACCATGGCCACATCAAATCTACCCTTCACAGAAGCCAAAGAATTTATAGAACACTCTTATTCAAACCATGTTTCAACCTCCAATAGATTCCAAGTATTGGAAAATATCAACGAAGTAACCTTCCCACATCTCCCTAGCCGCCCTCAAACAATTTCTCCTAGCAGGCAACATGTTCATCAGATGACAAACACTGGACCTTCCTCTACAGCATTTAGTGCAAATAAAAAACGTAAAGCTCAATCACCCCCCATAAATTTTCCGACAGAGAAACATTTTTTTAGTGCAGGACCTCCTAATCCAGTAACTTCAAGTAGGATCTATCAGTCGAATATTTCAGAAAAAAACGAAATGGTTGACATAGTTTCAAAAATTTTTTTTGAACTTGTAAACAAATCCAAAAACTTAGGTGATCTTAAGAAAATCAGTAATAATACATTGAAAAACGAAATACATTGCATAATAGATAAGTTAATTAATTCCACTTAGCGTCTTCAATAATACCGATAATGTGCTAAAGGTGATGCAGTGGAATGCAGGTTCCGCTGTATCCAATCGAAACAGTTTGAATATGTTCCTTTCAAAAAATGATATTGACGTAGCCCTAGTAAGCGAAACTTGGTTCAAGCCAAACGATACTATCAGATATCATGGCTACAATATTGTGAGGAGGGACAGAATTGATGGCAAAGCTGGTGTAGCCATTTTTGTGAAAAAAGGTATAAAATTTTGTGAAATATCATTTTCGAATAATTTTAATGATGATATACTTGTATGCGGGATAAATCTTATTAACCAAACATTTGATTTAACTTTGTTGTCTATATACAGGCCCCCGAACATCAATTCAACAGCTGGTGATTGGGACACAATCTTCTCTAATACCAGCATATCTTCTATTATTGGTGGAGACTTTAATGCACACTCTCATCTCTGGGGATCCTCATTTAATAATTCCATAGGTTATCAGTTAATAAATATATGCGAATCAAAGAATTTAGTCGTTATGAACGATGGTTCGCCTACTAGGCTTGTAGCTCCAAATCAGCAGGTAACTGCTCCAGATGTTACAATCTGCTCCCGAGATATTGCACAAATAAGTCATTGGCAACTTACTTCTGATACATTAGGTTCGGACCATTTTCCTATTCTTATGTTTATTCCTCTATCTTTCCAAGTATATGACACAATCTATCCTAAGTATAAGTGGAATATGAAAAAAGCCAATTGGAGTTTGTATCATGACTTATTGGAAGATATTTTCGATTCTACTCCAGAATTTTACTCCACTCAAAGTAAATACGATTATCTCATTGAAAAGATCAATGATGTTAGCGAGATCTCCATCCCTATACTAAGGCCATTTAAAGCTAAGAAACGGCCACCCCCTCCTTGGTGGGATGAACAGTGTATAAGTGCCATAGCACAAAGGACCTCAGCTTTAGCAACGTACAAACAGGACAGTTCTTTAGCCAACTTCGTCCACTGCAAGAAGGTATTTGCTGAAACAAAGAAACTCTTCAAACAAAAATCAAAAAATAGCTGGAAAGCATGGATATCTAAGTTGAATAAAAATACGTCATCAACCGATCTCTGGAAACAGGCTAAAATCATCAGAAGGATACCCATGGGAAAGAAAGCATCAACTAATTCTGATTGGGCAGACGACTTCCATAGAAAATGCTCTCCGTCCTTCGTGGCTGCAGAAGTCGAACCTCCCCCACGTTTACATCAAGACAACTTTTTCAGCAGACCTTTCAACATGACGAAACTAAATCTTGCAGTTAAAAATACCAGAAACACATCACCTGGCTGCGATGATATCACATATCCAATGCTCGTGAACCTCCCATCTAATGCAAAACTATTCCTTCTGGATATATTTAACAACATTTGGCTGAATGCAGACACAATTAGCCAATGGAAAAACATCGTTATAGTTCCAATTTTGAAGCCAAACATGGATCCCAATTGCGCTGACTCATATCGCCCGATATCCCTTTTATCCTGCGTCATGAAGACTTTTGAAAGATTGATCAAAAATCGCCTGGAATGGTGGTTTAGATCTCATCCACTTCCTAACAACCAATATGCCTTCAAGAAAGGAGTTGGAACAGCAGACGCTATTACGAATATTGTCACCGACATTCAGATGTGTTTCACGCGAAACAACTACTTAGCAGGCATCTTCATAGACATTACAGGTGCATATGACAACATCAATTTAAACATACTTCGAAACAAACTGGAAAAATTTGGCATCCCACCTCACTTTAGTTTTACTGTAACAAGCCTATACCGTGATAGGAATATTTTTCTACGCAACGACAGTGGCGGAAAGATTGGACCACGACTAGTGCAGGAAGGTATCCCACAGGGCGCAGTTTTAAGCCCAATTTTATTCAATATCTTTTCGGCAGACTTACATGATGTGCAAACCCCATGTCAGCTGGTCCAGTATGCAGACGATATTTGTGTATATACGTATATAGAGAACCGTCAACTTAATCAATGTATATCTACGCTAAATTCCTCAATGGAACACTACAAACAGTGGCTAATGGAACATGGTTTCGACATATCGTTGAAAAAATCATCCTTTTGCGTTTTCTCACGACACAATGTATCATTACAGAGGAACATACTACTGGGAGGGTTATCCTTCAAAGTTGAAACTTCTGTCAAATATCTCGGCGTAATCCTTGACAAAAAGCTCACATGGAAGCCGTATATCGAACAAGTAGTCAGTAGATGTGAGAAAGCCTTCAATTTTTTCCAGATGATCTGCAAGGTATGGTGGGGCTCCGATCAAAAGATCGCAATATTATTCTTCAGATCATATGTTAGATCTATCCTTGATTATGGCAGCATATTCTATGGCTCTGCCAGTAAAAATCTCCTTCATGTGCTAGATATAACACAGAATAAATTTCTCAGGAAATGTCTTGGAGCAATGCAATCGTCACCAGTCGGACCTTTGCGAGCAGAAGCACAGGAGCCTCCTTTACATCTTCGAAGGCAAATGTTATCTAGCAGATTTCTACTTAAGGTACAACACGCGGATAGCCACTTACTGAGCAAAATTCATCGTCTAAACACCATGGACTTGACATGCAAATATTGGACCAAAAGAAACTCCCCGCCTCTATGCAGTGCCATACAATATGCCAACAGAATACAACTAACCTCTCATAGCCAACGATTGATCCAAGATATAAGTTACTTTCATTTACTATCAGGATTTGATGTTAGAGTACCAGCTTACAAGCAACAACCACACCACATTCAGAACCTACTTCGAGAAGTGCAGAGTAACTTAGCAGGTGATACATTCATTTACACCGATGCATCGAAGTCGGCGTCAGGAACGGGATGCGCTCATTATATTCCTTTAATAGATATTTTTTCCATGTTTAAACTACCAAATGAATTCACGATTTTTTCTGCAGAAGCTATTGCTATATTCCAAGCCATACAGATTGTAGAGGACCACAATCTTGGTAACACGTCTATATTCTCGGACTCCCTCTCTGTTGTCAGTAGTTTAAAAAACGGCAGTCCTTTCGATATGCAAAATATACACTTATTCAACATAAGATGGAAAATAAGTCAGCTAAAACAACGAGGCCTCAGGATTACACTAGTTTGGGTGAAGGCCCACTCTGGGATAATACACAACGAAAAAGCTGACGATCTAGCAAAGATGAGTATAACATCTGGAACTAAGCTGGACATACCCTTAAGCATGCAAGACAATCGAGTGATGCTTAAAGGTAATTTGCTCAAGCGATGGCGCAGTGAATGGATAGAATACTGTTTTACTAATCCTACAAGATACAACCTCATACACCCTAGCCTGCCACGAGGATACTGGCACGAAAATTTCAAAATACCCAGAAAATATATTTCTTGCATCACCCGTGCGAAAATAGGACATGGTGTTTTTCCATCACACCTTGCAAGATTAAATTTGGTCCCATCTGCACTGTGCGATGTTTGTGAAGTTTATGGTGACTTGGATCACTGTTTCTTTGGTTGCGCTAAATTCCTGGATCACTGCAATGCACTCTACTCCGATTTGGTGAAATCTGGCATATCTGCCCCCCTAAATACATCTCATGTATTTTCGCTAGGTAGATCTGATGTGATCATTCTCGTTGTTAAATTTATCAGAAATTCTGGCATCAAAATATAACAATCGTATTTTAGTTATCCTCTGTTTTTGTACCTTTATGTATAAATAAATATATCCTTCATATCCGTGGCCTAATTGTTGTATGTGAAAAATGAAAAATGCCCTGACGGGTCCCTGGGCGAGAAGAACGTGTGTCCCTGTCTGACCCATCCTCTCTCCTACCCCTTAGAGTTGCATAGGTTTAATATGTAGTTATGGTGTCCTTTAGACACGAATGTCATCTGAAAATTTGTGTGTAATGCTTAACCCCCGCCCCCTCCTGATAACACTTTCTTAGTTCTTCTATATTATTTTTTTTGTTTTTCATCCAGAGTGGAGAGTGTGCATTAGAAGAAATTTAATAATCAATTCTTCCTACTGTTTGTTAAGTATTTGCTCCTTCGCCCAAATACGACTGTGTCACCAAAATGTCTTTCCTGCAATACCCTGATAGCTGAGGGGATCTGCTTGCTACGTCATTGCCATTTTACACGTTTTAAATTATATATGTGTGTATGATATAATAGATAAATACTTGATTCTGGCTAATGGGGCAATGTCCTAGTGCCAAAAAAAAAAAAAAAAAAAAACTCGCAAAATGCAACACAATTTGTTTCTTTGTCAGTTTGAGTTTCTACCATGCTAGCGCTGCATAGCGGAAATAAAATCGGACATCGCCGCGACTTCCTAGCAGACATCCGCTCCTTATCGCACATACCGCGCGCCCCTCGTAAAAGCCCATTTGGAACTTGAAATGGAGTTGGATGGGTTCGATCAGCCGTCAACTTCAAATCGAATTAACCTTTAAAGCTTAGAGTCGAGTATTTACATCGAAAAAGAAAAGATAAACTGTGTGTGTATACTCGACGTATATACGCGTTCCGACGTGTATGCTCTTTTGAACTTTCGACTTTTTCCGCCTCGGGCGGGTATTTATTTTCCTAATGCTACCCTACCAGGGCTTGCAGAATACTATTTTTGAATAATTAAATGTCTGTCTGCCTGAACTGAAAAGTGAGGTGAGTATCTCCTTGTCGATGACCAATGCAGGGCTACATCAACGCCACAAAGGCATCAATACAGTAGCAGTAGCAACTTCCTATGATCTGACGCACATCGCGTAACGCGCATTCGTTTCATCATGTAGAGCATCCTGTCAACTCGCAATGTTGCTTCTTTGGTATCAGTGAAATTCCTCTCAGCCAAACAAATACGTTATTTCGATCAGCTCTACATATTTAACCTTTACACCGACCTTTAAATTGTCGTAGCACGTAACGGAGTCCAGAGAGTACCAACAACATGCTTTGAGCAGGTCTAAGAATGTACCAGTGCGATATTTGTCTTTCTATAGCATAGTGGGGTACGACGTCGCCAAGTCTAGGATTTCTTTTAGTCTAGGGAAAGTATGTCCCTCATCTACGTAGTCTACCCATTGAACCCCAGGTAATTCCAGATTTCACTGTACGCTATAGTCGTCGGACAGCTGCTTATTGAATGGCCACTGTAAACAAAAATAGTTTCCGATCTCTTGATTCCCGCTGTTTCAAGAAAATACCAGATGTTCTAAATGGGTATATAATCAGCCAGCCGCTTGTCGGGAGGATGAGCATTACAGTATTTAGTGGTGGATATATGAGCGGACCAACGCCGTTGCGATCCTGTGTGAACCATCCGAATAGTTTCAGTTATATTTGTGGTGAGTTCACACTAAAAGCTCAGCGAAAGACCTTGATCCCACTTGTAAGAAAGGCTTACGAGTTATATTTGGGGTTCAAAGTTGCCGATCAAGACAAAGCTTGGGCTTCCAAAACATGCTGCCACACTTGCTCAAGAACCGTAGCAGGATGGCTACGGGGTACTCACACTTCTAGGAAATTTGAGGTGCCAATGATTTGGCGGAAACCTAAGAAACATGTTGCTTAACAAAGATTCAGGGATTTTCTAGCAGTAGCAAGCATAAAATAGTATATCAGAGACACAGAGAAGCCAGAAAAGCAAACAGCCGCATTTTATAAATCAGGAAGAGCTCAATGATCTACTTGGATCTCGTTTGCAGCAATGGGACTTTATACAAACAGGTGTGAAAATTCCCACGTTTCGGAACAGGCAGTCCATGCTGGCCGTATTTTTCTCCATGAAAAATGACTTGGATTTCACCAAGCTTGTCAAATTAACAGTCCGTTATTCTCCATCTCCATCTAGAGGGTAACAGTCCGTCAAATTCAATAAATGATCTTCAACATCCATTCAACAAATTTCAGCAAACAATACCTATGAAATCTTGAAAACAAAATATTGTCAAAGTATGAGATGACAGCTTGTCCTTGAAACCTCACCAGCTTATTGAGTATTAAGAAATTACATATAATTCAGTCAAAGTTTAAAGAAATGTTTGATTTTTGAATAAAATTCAAGTTTTAATTACTATTGTTGATTTTTTATTCATGTTTACATTATTTTCTTCAATTGATATGCGATTTTACTGATTTAACATCACCTCCCGCGTTTTTTCTTTACCTATAAACCTCTTGCAGATAGCCATTAAACACCTACGTGATGACAGACTCTACCAAAAATTTCATAGACATTGCTCTTTTCCAAACATTCATTCATTCACTTGCCGTTCATCAGAATCATTATGGCACCTTAGATTGATATTCCCACAAAACCATCCATACATCCATAAAGTTGAATATTCTTCGTTTTTCAGGAACTGAACAAACGTCCACACTATATTCACAGCGATTAAGAAATACCCAAATATATGTCTTAAAGCTACCAGCAAACCTAAGACCTGCAAAAAAAAAAACTAGAAATTTGCCATATTTTTCTTTTTTCACGAGTACACATTCTAGGTTATATAATTAGACATTATTTGAATAACAGCTGATTATTGCATCTCAAAACTCCCCGAGTGAGACATGTGTGGGATCCGTCAACCCTTGCTCCCAGTGACAAAACATATACACTGAAGAAGGTTTAATTCCATGCTATTCAATGACAACATGGTGACTTGTATGGTTGTCAGCGGCCAGAGGGTGTGACATGGTTGCCAGATTGTGCATTAATATCTCGTTTCACCCCCGTGGTCCCAGTCGAGTACGCTCTGCCAACTGTTGAAATATACTCTACTATGCTTTATAAGACTATGTGTAGAATTTTTCCCAAAATCGTTACATTTTCATAAATAGGTATTTTTGATTCTGACATAATATCTAGACGATGAATAATAGGTGTATGCGGACACTTTTACAAATATCGATGTTTTAGGACCCAGAAATGCAGAATGTGCTGTTTGTTTACATTTGGTGTGTATTTCTGGATCATAAGTTGATGAAAATTCGTTTGGATGCAACAAAAGATGATGAACCACTTGGAATACGTTTTATATCCTTTTTTTACAAAATAACAAAAATCTGTACATTTCTACAGGTTCGTATTATGTACAACA